GCAAAAATCACATCTTAGTTATTTTTCGATAACTAACAACAGCGATTTTGATTATGAATTTGTTTTATATAATTCTAAGCTGTTGAACTACAAAAATATAGATTTTAAATACCTCACTGTACCTTTAAAATTGTATCCATTTTTCGATACCCTCAATACAGTATTCGCTAATTTTATTTTATGTTCCAAAAGCCAAAATGTTTTAAATAAAATAAATTTTTTTCACAACCGCATATTATTGTAACATGTATCTTTTAAAATTAGTGTAAATTACTTTACTCGAGAAATATAGTGAATGCACAGAAATTAAAGATTTCCACATGCCAGAAATGAAAAATATGAAATATGTATGGGTATTATGCATGTGCTTCCAAAAAGCATGTATCTGCCTTTAACAAAATACGTAAATATTTATTATATTATTTATAAATGTATTTGAAATGAAGGATTTATTCATTCATAAATAACTGTGAAAGTTACTGTGAAGAAATCTAATTATTAAATGTATCCCAATTTATAATGATTATAAATATTATCTAAACATAACCTTAACATTGAATTGTAAACATAAATTGACATCCTGTTGACAAATACGTTATAAAACTATTTAAGCAAGAATTGTTTATACTGGAAAGCACTCTGTTAAAAGGTATTGTAAAGCAATTTCTATGAGATGCGTAAATAAGAAAGTAATAAAGAAGAGTTTTGGAATATGTATTGTTGAAATTAAGGGTAAAAAAATCTAATAATTAAAAGAATTATTCCCCTTACATTTTATAATAAGTCAGTTACAAGTTTTAAGTTTTAAATAATAATTTTAAAAAAAATCCTTTTTTATTCCCTTTCAGAAATATTCAGAGAAAGTTAAGTACTATTTAAAATATTTCGCTATTAAATTAAAAGGTGCTCTAATTTGAAATGGACCGAATAGAGCATTAATTATAACTTGACTTAGATTTTTCGTTTTAAAAGATGCCTTCAGAAGCTAAAAAATCATATCATATTTGAGGAAGAATCTCTCTATATAGAAAAGAAATAATGCATAATTTTAATATTAATAATACAATAAACTTTTATCTTAATTTTTCAAATCCTTAACCGAATAAAATCGAATTACCTTACATTTTTTCCCTAATGTAATTAATGAAAACTTGTGAAAATATTTCAAATTAAGCCATTCTGAGCAAAGTGCTTTGTGAAAAGTATAGCATTTAATTCCGTTCAGAATTAAATGTTTAAAAATGTATTCTTTTCATATACTTAGGACTCTGAAGTACAGTCAAAAGTCGTTAATCCGGACTCCTCGGGACTTCGGCGATTCCGGATTATCGATTTTTCCGGATTATAGATCATCAGTTTAAATCTGGTAAGATGGCATGCAGAAATTACAAAATTAAAAATATGAAACCGTAATTTATGAAATAAAGAACAATTATGACCTAAAGGGTATCAAAATTTACAAAAAGAAAAAGCTTAATATTTATTTGTTTACTTTATTAAACATTTCCTTCAATGTAAGTTGCTTCGTTTCATGTGATAATACTTTCTCTTTAATTCTATTAAACAGACATGATTTCTTGTTTAGTTACAAAGTTCCGCTGTTCAAGTCCTATAATTGCTGTGTTGAGAATACCGAATAATTTGTCAATTGAAATGTTTTCATTTTCAATAACCTCTGGGTCACTTTCTTCACTATGGGAAGCGAATTATAATGAGGAAGAACTTGATTTAAATCATATCAAAAAATCATATCAAAGACAGAGTACATCGAGATGAAATACTACACTACGGAATTATAAACCAAATAAAATAAAAACATCTGCCCTGAAGATAAGGATAGTGCTGACAGATTAACTTCCAATCAGCAGCGTGAAATTGATAAACAGATTTCGGATTTCAAAACACTTTCGCTTTGTAGATACAAATTACATATTAGTAAATATATATCGGAAATTCTATTTGACATAATCTTTCTAATCTATCATAATCTAATAATGACTTTCTGCCCCCCCCCTCTGTTGCAGAGCAGTGTGAAATTGATAAACAGATTTCGGATTTCAAAACATACTTTCGCTTTGTAGTAAATATATATCGGAAAGTCTATTTGACATAATCGAAAGTTCAAGCTTACTTTTATGAAATTGCTCTGACAGTCTGCAAAAAATAATAAGCCGGATCCAATTCGAAGATTAAGGAACAACGCAATCTGCAACATTAACTGAATTAGATAACTTTAGCTTAGCGTATAACTCCGTTACACATTAAACGTGCATGCGCACAAACATATTCGCAGCCGTAAGGGTCTTACGCGCTGTCGTAAACGCCTGTGCGCATGCGTGAACGCGACGCATGCGAAGAAAGTTTGTAGCTTTGAGGTCCGGATTATAGATCATTCCGGATTATGGGTGTCCGAATTAACGACTTTTGACTGTATTGTAGAAAAAGAAAATATATCAATTTATATGCATATTTACGACGTAATTACAAAATATTTACATCTGATCATGTCAAAACACTTTGAACTCAATGGTATGGTCACTAAAGAAGGGATCGCTAGTGCTTCAAAGCAGGGTGTGGGAAAACCGGTTTAGGGCCATCTAACTTCCTACCTCCATGATGAAAACAGACTTCACAGAAGGAGGCTCTCGGTTCAGAGTAAGGCTCGGCAGGGACTGTACTGGTACTGCCTTGTCTGCCCTTGCTGTGTGGGGTCGCAACATGGTAGATTGTTAAGTGCAGGATGGCACTCAATTCTAAAAGGTAAATAGCTAGGGCGGAAGCGGTCCTGTCACGCAGAGTTGTAGAGACATTAGGTATTTTTTGGAAGCAAGAGAGATGAAAAATTAGCCAACCGCCTTTGTCGGGAATCGAACCACGGACCTCTGGAATACCGGCCCAGTGTGCAGAACCATGAAGGAACACTAGGGAAGTGGGAGAAATACCTTATAAACTTACGTCAATGATTTTGTGTCGTTAAGAAAGAAAAGCATGTAGTCTGGAGTTAGCAATTAATACTTACGAATGATTTGCCCCTAAAGCTTATTAGTGTAAAAAACAGAAAAAAAAAATCGATCCGCCTTTAACTTTGCCATTTTGTTATATCAATCGTACTTCTAAATCCAAAATATTTCTGTCCCTTACCTTGCTTCTTGGTGCGATTGCATAGGATGCAAGTACCATCGTCTTTTACATTGTGAGAACTATACATTAAAACATGCAGGTTCTTCCTTATTTAATTTCTCTAAAAATAGTACAGGGGGAAATTATTTGGTGGCAACAATTTGAAAAGTGATACACCCTTTATAGCAAACCAACGCAATACATGTTATATTAAATTGTAAGAATCATTCACATTAATAAATTCAATTTCAAATTAAGTATAAGGACTGATTTTTGGAATTGGGTTTAATTGAAAAGCTAGTAAGAGATACAATATATGAACAAAATTAAACGCTACGGAATGGCATATTAGGAAAATTACGAACTGCAAATAATATACCACGATTTCTTTTAACTTTCAAAGTTCATTCGAAATTAAGTACCAGAATCCTGCCTAGTTACTTCTTTGATTTATACTTAGAAAATATGCCTACTGATTATTTGATCATAATGCAAATTATACAGATAAATTAATATATAAGTACTTTATAATAAATATGGTAATAATAAGTACTTTATAATAAATATGGTAATAATAAGTACTTTATAATAAATAGTTACAATTAATTTCCGCTTCCACTGCTTTTTGATTTGGAATTGCAAAAAGATAAATCTTTCGTTTAGTGGGTTGCCTTTAATAATTTTCAGGTTTGAAACTAAGGAATACAAAGGAACTTTTCCTATTTTCTGCTCACTGCTATCCCTAAACTGGGGTAGGTCATGAAGTTATTATTTCATAGTCGAATGCTGGAATTTTAACATTTGCAAACACTTGAATTTAGCTGTTTCAGGTGCTTCCAAGGGCCTCCTATCTGCGTCATACAGAGAATTGCGTTACTGCACCATATATTTAGGGGGCCCATAAAAACTTAAAACGAATTCTATTATCTACTTATACTTAGATTCTAAAGTTAAAAGTAAATTGGAGTCAAATCAAGGCTATTCCTCAACTATATTAATATTAACAATCGTGTAAAAAGGGGTTAAAAAGGGGTTTAACACAAATCCAAACATATCAAAATTAAAATAAGAATTTATAGCAGTACAAATTCTAAAAATAAAATGAAAAACAAAAGGGGAAAAAATACAAGATAAAAAATATAATAATTAATCTTCTTTTATTGAAATTCTAATTCTGAACTCATCAAAGGAAAATGTATTAAAAGCTCCTATATATACGTAATGGAATCCGTCTTTTAAGTTTAAACATCTAAATGCAGTTCAGCAGGACATTTAAAGACGCCTATTCAACGGCATTCCTTGCATACCCTTATTTACGCCACTGGTTAGTGATCCAGTTACGTGGAAGTTAACATTCAGACTCTTGGTATTTAAAAATAAAATGTATGTAGTATGTGTATTTAAACCTGACTGCTTACTTCTACAGTTATGTTCATTTTAGCTTAAAGGGGAAAAAAAAAAGTTTGCAGTAATTTTGTTTTTTTATTGTTGTAATATTAAGATCTAATTATGTTGTTATAAAACAGATTAATGATCAAATTCAGAATATAGGCTTCTGGCTAGTTCGTGATTTTCAAACCCGTAAAATAACATTAAAGGGTGAGTGAAGTTTTGTAAACAAGTACTACAGTTTAATGTATTTTCTTACATAGTGTGATAAATCTTGATATAATGTAGTAGCTAGCGTTAAGAAAGTGAGAAACTGATAGGCTGAGCAAAATGTGAGTTAATAGTCTGTATGGGGGGAAAAAAAAAGCAAAACGTTTTAATGCTTAGTTTAATTGTGTGTAATGACGTCTTTTAGAAATTATTTATTCAATGGATTTTTTACTACAAATTTAGTTAGATTTGTGATTATTCTTTTTAACAATATTTATTAGATGGCTGATGATGATGAAAAAGAAATCTTGGCTGAAATACAGGATAAATATGTACCATTCCTAAAGAAGCTAATCTCATTTTTGGAGAAAACTAAAAAAGGTTTGTTTATGAATTTTCTTTCATGAATATTTAATTTAAAGTGAAAGTAAAATTAGAATTTTTAGCTTAAATTTACAGCACATTTTTTTTTTTTTTTCTTCTTAGTTGATGGATTTTATTTAAGTGCAGTTTTATATTGCCTCTGATTTTTTAATTTTAATATTATTGAATGACATAATTTTTTTTTCCCTGTTGTATTGAACTTACTTCTGTAAAGTTCTTCATAGAACTGACCTAAAAACTTTAATGTTGATAGAGAAAGACTACATGCTTAGTTGACTATGTGCTTATTTCATGCATATTTTTCATATTTATTTTTATGTAATATGTTTAAGTCTTTTAATATGCTTCAGCAATGAAAAAGTGGGTATTACAATGTTGATATGCTAGTTCATTTTTTCATTGCGTACTTTATTCAGTGTGATAAATTCTTTTGTAAGGTTATCCTTGAATGTGGACTTTTATATGTGATATTTTCAGTTTGTAATGCAAAGTTAAAACGAAACAAAAATCGAAGCATTTGCCATTCATGTACTACAGGTCAATAAATGTTAAAAAAAAAAAAAAAAAAAAAAAAAAAGTGCTGGCATTGTCATCATGTAATTTTCTTCTCATAAAATTCAAATCGGTATTTCTTCCCATGCTCGATTAGCGTCACTGATACGGACTCGTTTATTGTTATGGTCTAGTCAGTGGTCAAGCGTATTTGAAAGCTTTGTAAATTAAGACAAAACTAGATTTTTATTCAAACATTATAACATTTATTTACTTATTATTAAAAAAATTAAACACAGTAAAATGTTTCCTACTGTAAAAGATTTTAGATTTGTTCAGTTATGGCTGGGCTATCTGCTTCTCTATGAAAGAAGATATATTGTTATCAGTACTTACGTATTTTCCACAAACAAAAACTGTTGCCAAAGAATGTGATTTAGCTCTAGTAATGACTTGGTTTTATGCAATCTTGCCCAATTTTTTTCATATGCTGCTATTTGTATCTGCTGATTTTCTAACTAAGTAAAGAGTTTGGTTTAATCCTAGTGCATGGTATACACAGGATTTGTTGATATTCTGAGAGCTATGCAGTTTACGCATGCTATATCAGAGTTTGGCAAGATTTGGTAGTTTTTTTTTAGTCAAATTTACATCTGTGATTTTAGTTTTAGCAATTTATAGTGATGTTTTACGTCTCGATAGCAGTATTTTTTGTTCATGACACATCATTTTGTTGTTGCTGAGAATTTTCAAAGTTACGCCGATTTCATACTGTATACTAGGATTTTACCAAGAAATCTGTTATGAGGATCTGTTCTTTCCAGACAGCTGCAACGATTTCAGAACTGGTGGCAAGTTTGTGATTATATTTAATTTTATCATTTGATATATCCATAACTTGCATCTCTAGATTATCTAACTGTAGAAAGATTTTTGCCAGCTTTCTTAGTGTAAAAATACTTGAATACTTGGATACCTTATACAGTGAATCATATCTGTGTTTTTAAAGACTTGGTTTTAGTTCCCCCCTTTCACTTAAAATCTGCTTTTTACCAAAACATACATTGAAACATTTTTTAAAATAAAGTATTATAAAAATAAAAGTTAATGTAATAAACAGGAAATCTCAGATAAGCAGCACATAACACAATTTTTTCCCCCAGCTTGAATCGTGAAATATCCCCAAATCCTCTGGAGGAATTTTTTTGATGCCAAGAGGGAAATGGCATCAAAAACCACTTTCCAAAAATTCCCTGTGCAGCCCAATACAGGGGGAAAAGTTCTACTGGGCGAAAATCACATAAGACAAAAGTGTTGCCAAAGGATGTGATTTAGTGAAGTGTTTGGGTTAAGAAGGTAAACCATACACATAGAATAAATTGTAAACGATTAGTTATTGGTGCAATTAAGTAAATCTGCATGCTTTTTTAACTTTAATATTTTAGATTATGATATATATAACTCCAACATTATTAACTTTTATACTCCTCTTTTTTAATTATTATCACTAATTTGAACAATTATCCATAATAATGGTTATACAGTCAAAAGTCGTTAATCCGGACGCGTCGGGACTTCGCCGATTCCGGATTATCGATTTTTCCGGATTATAGATCATCAGTTTAAATATCGTAAGATAGCATGCAGAAATTTTAAAATTAAAAATATGAAACCGTAATTCATGAAATAAAGAACAATTATCTAAAGGGTATCAAAATTTACAAAAAAAAAAGCTTAATATTTATTTGTTTACTTTATTAAACATTTCTTTCAATGTAAGTTGTTTAAGTTGCTTCGTTTTATGTGATAATACTTTCTCTTTAATTCTATAAACAGACATAATTTCTTGTTCAGTTACAAAGTTCCGCTATTCAAGTCCCGTAATTGCTGTTCCGAGAATACCGACTAATTTGTCAGTCGAATTTTTTTCGTTTTCACTAACCTCTCTGTCACCTTCTTCATGTCTTTATCCATTTTTTGCAGCAGCAATTCCACTTTTTTTTGTTGATGGACATCGAAACATACTTTCGTTTTGTAGATCCTTTGGGAGCTCCAACATCGGAAATTCTATTTGACATAATCGAAAGTTCAAGTTTACTTTATAAAATTGCTCTTACAGTCTGCAAAAAATAATAAACCGGATCCAATTCGAAGATTAAGGAACAACGCAATCATCAACATTAACTGATATAGATAATTAGATAATTTTAGCTTATACCGTCCGTTATACATAAAACGCGCACACGAAAACGTATTCTGCACTTGCGCACACGCATATGCGCAGTCGTAAAGGTCTTATGTGCACGCGTAAACGCCTATGCGCATGTGTCAACGCGGCGCATCCGCAGAAAAGTTTTAGCTTTGAGGTCCGGATTATGGGTGTCCGAATTAACGACTTTTGACTGTATATGTTTGAAAACATGTTGCAGGCAATGATGCGACTATGATAAAAGGGTGCTACTTTGGTAGACGGTTGCATGGATTTTTGGTGATTTACTTTGGCACAATTGTTGGCTTGGTTTTTACAATTGTTAGCCATCTTGAAAAACGCAGTTTTTATGTTATTTTGCGCATAGTAAAGTATTCGAAACTTTAAAAAAGTATATATCGTTAAAAATAATGGATTAATTTTTTGTTGAAAACATTTTTTAAGATGGCAGGCAAATGTAAATAAATACATTTACTATGAGTATAAAATACTAAAATAAGGTTAAATTATTACTTTCATATAGCACAGAAACAGAATAAAAACACCTCTATAAAAACATTGTGCAAACGTTTAATTGGATTAAAATATTACATAAATTGAATATCAAATTAAAAACCATCATACCAGCGTTTAAAAGAATTAAAATATTACTTAAATTCAAATACTTTAAAATAATTAAATAAGAATGCTTCGTACACTAGAGCAATTAGTTTATTGCCGGTAAAAAAGGAGGAATAATACTTTTTTTACCGTTACAGCGGTTATTTCTTCCACTGTGATCATGATACCATATACGGCCATCATCAGAATCGGCTCTTCTAACGATTTTCATCTGTGATCCACATTTCTCACACTTCATTGAAGAAGCAATTAGCAATGTTTCCTCCAAAAATTGGAAGTTGAATTGGAAGTTGATCTGTCAGCACTATCCTTATCTTCAGGGCAGATGATTTTATTTTATTTGGCTTATCATTCCTTACTAAATGTAGTATTTCATCTCGATGTACTCCGTCTTTGATATGATTTAAATCATTCCTCGTCATTATAATTCGCTTCCGATAGTGAAGAAAGTGACAGAGAGGTTATTGAAAACGAAAAAATTTCGATTAACAGATTAGTCGGTATTCTTGACACAGTAATTATAGGACTTGAACAGCGAAACTTTGTAACTGAAGAAGAAATTATGTCTGTTTATAGAATTAAAGAGAAAGTATTATCACATAAAACGAAGCAACTTAAACAACTTACGAGTACATTGAAAGAAATGTTTAATAAAGTAAACAAATAAATATTAAGCTTTTTTTTTTGTAAATTTTGATACCCTTAGATCATAATTGTTCTTTATTTCATAAATTACGGTTTCATATTTTTAATTTTATAATTTCTGCATGCCATCTTACCAGATTTAAACTGATGATCTATAATCCGGAAAAATCGTTAATCCGGAATCGCCGAAGTCCCGACAAGTCCGGATTAACGACTTTTGACTGTAGTACAACTGGATGCCAAAAGGAATATCTTCGCTGGTAACCTTTTACGCTTCATTTTCGAAACAAGTTGCAGCCATTTCTTATCAGATTGATTGTTTCTTTCAATACTGGCATACAATTACATAGAATGTTTACCTAGATAGTTAAATTTTATGCCCTAAGACCATTCGAGCTAATTAAGTCAATTATGATGCAATCACACTGCTCCCCCGAAGGCGAAAATATAGAAAAAGCAAAATCAAGGGTTAAATTCACCAATTCTAATGAGAATGCACTAAAATAAAGCAATGCGATTTTACATAATTTCTTTCTAATTCTTGCATTGAAACTTGTATTCCAAATTAAAATTTAACTTGAAATTAATGTAGATAATTGCTAAATTAGTTTTTTGTAGCGTAGTTTACGTGAGATGAGATCACTTGGGGTCACATGATACGAACCGGTGAATCAGGATGTTGAACCATGAAAGTATGGTAAATTTTAAATTAATGTCTTTTTACAAATTTATTGTCTTTATTTACTGGCTTTTTACAAAATTATAAACCATATTAAAATGTTTATGCCTTCAAAATAAAAAATTCTTAGAACTAACACTTGTTAACATTTTTTATGTGTATACTGTATGCTGTCGCCAACAAAGTCTGCTCGACGAAACGGAAAAGTACCAAATTAAATTTGCCACTATCAAATGTAACAAAATAACTCTTGATTCAATAATCCTGCACTTTGTGTCTCACTGTGAGTAACAGGATTTTGGGATTCAGTTCTTGGACTTTCACCACAGAGTAATATTACCTTTGTCCATCAACTCCAAATATATTAAATTTTAATTTTTCTGAAAATATTACAATCATAATATTTGACAAATGTGAGGTGCAGCTTTGTGAAAGATATTGTCCTTATTGTTTAACTGTTAGCCTGTAAGCCCTAGTTAAGGTAGACCTACATGACTATGCTAGCTTTATTGCATTAGAAATTAAGTGATTTAAGAATTGTTTGAGAATTTGTTGGATTATTTATGTAGATTAAATGAAAATCTATTAAATACTTGGCCAATTATTTTGTACCACATTGTATTAAACATTATGTACATACATTTAATATCATGTATATATTTCTTAGTTAACCACATTAGCAGACATCAATTTCCAGGATAAGCCAAACTGTAGCAGCAAAGCACTGAAGAGCTCTTCACTTTTAACAAGCAACATTGTCATTTTTGTTGCATTGAAAGCTCTGACAGTATTTATACTCAGATTGGAGTTTTTAGTCCAAAGGGGTAATTTGCTCTGAAGGACTATTAATTTCAATTTGGCATTTTGCGTTGAAAACTTTAAAAGGCTGTATCCCTTTTCAAATCGTTGCCACCATATGTTATCACCCTGCCTTATATTTAAATAAATTAAATAATGAAGAATCTACATAAATGTATGTTTCTCGCATTGTGATAAAACAATGGTACCTAGAGCCATCAAAATTTGAATAACGTAATCTTCCGTAGAATATGGGCATGTGGAAGCCCTAGATTTAATTTGAAATTTGTTTTATCGATTTCAGATTTTGTAGCACTTCAACGAATTTCTGATTAAAACGATTTCAAAGCAAGCAATGGCAACACTGTAGGGGGGAAAACATCCATCTCCAGCACGCGAGACCCTGTTTCGGAAAATCTAAAGATATGCTCATTTTAAAATTAATTTGCAATATTGCTGTTGAACTAAATTTTATATTTTCAGTATGTTGAACATGATATTTAATAAATAAAGGTAACACATAAAACTTTAAAAAGCCCCTTTGGACGTAATTTAAAATCTGAAGCCTTTCAGATTTTTTTTTTTTAAAACTCAAGTTTAAATTATGTGCTTATGGGATTTGCATGCAATGGAAGAAACTGTTTTAAAATTTCTGTAGAAAGACAATATTTTGCCATAAAAATCGTGAAAAAGAGCAGTTTCTTTTATCGATTCTTAAAGTGAATACCACAAAATTTTCATAATGAAGAAAAGATTAGGAAGTAGGTTTGCCATTTGATTTTCGAGATGACTGTGTTTAATTAAAGGGACTGTATCCAAAAATGTATGAACGTGTGTTTGTTTGTATGTATGCGTACATGTATACACACACATATATTCATGCTTACATACATTATATATATATAATTAATATATATATATATGTGTGTGTGGGTACTTTAATTTCGAAATCACAATTCATGTTCAAACAAAACACATTTGATGAAACATTAATACATCTATACGATCATTGATCTATTAACACAGCATCTATAACATCTTACATCTATTAACATAACATCTATATCATTGTATATATATTAATGCAACATCCATAAAATCTTACAGCTCCTCTCATAAAACAAAGTGGCGAGAGTTCTATCAATTCACTTGCATTGTGATAAAACAACGGTACCTAGAGCCATCAAATTTTGAATGATGTAATTCTGCTGCAAATATGGGCATCTGGAAGCCCAAATTTGAAATTTGGAATTTGTTTTATTATTGATTTTATATTTTGTAAAACTTTAACTAATTTTTTATTAACAAGCTCAAGGATTTTAAAGCAAGCAATGGAACGTTGTATAGAAAAAAAAAACATTTTTATCTCCAGTGTGTGAGACTGTGTATCAGAAATTCTAAAGATATGCTGAATTTAAAACTATTTTGCGATATTGCTCTTGAACTGAATTTTATTGTTTAAGTGGGAAGAATGTGATATTTTATAAATAAAGGTAACACACAATGTTAAAAAAGCCCCTTTGGACATAATTTAAAATCAGAAACCTTTCGGATTTTCTTTCTGTCACTTTTATTATTGTTATTTTATTAATTTTTATAAAATTTCTTTTTGATGCATTCTTTGTGTTATTAAAATTTAATGTGTCTTTCTGATTGTAAACACTTGTTGCAGTAAATTTTATTTTTGATATAAAAATAGCTTGTCACTAAATGATGAAATTTATCAATGATGATAAAAAAAGGCAAGAAATTATGGCAGTTTATTTTTTTTTAATTTTAATATTGTTATTCATATTCTTTTAATTGTATTGTTAGAATATATATTTTTGGAGGCTTTAAAATATCTTTTTTCTTTTCATTTTCTTCTTCCTCCTATTTTTTAGGAACACCCGAAAATTTAGATAAGCTTAAGTCTATTCATACCATCTTTACTGCTTCAAATGTGACGTAAGTATGATTTTTAGTTTCATTTATGTTGATATTATTTATATAAACTTTATCGTTAGAAGTAATAAAATTTTTAACTGTAATTATAATCCTATTTTCTGAAACTAATTCTGCTTATAAATATTATTTAATTTATATTATAGTCACATAAGAATATAGTAACCAGCCCAAAGCTTAGCGGGTGTAATCTCTCGCAGCTCTTAAATTCTCGGTATCTCCCCAAGTTCTAAATATTTTGTCCTGTTAAATTCTGGTACTCGTTGCACTCACAGTAGCTCATGCACTGGCCCTAAACCTGCCTAATAATCATTCTAAATAAGTGACATCTTACCAATGTGTTCTTTCTGAGATAACATGAGCTAATCTTTATTACTGACATATCTGTAGTTTCAGTTATCAACAGTTCACAACACTGAAAGAAAGTCCCTTGAAGTTTGAAAATGTATGTCATGTGACAAACAGTGTATGGCCAAATGTGAAATACAGTCTCTGAATTCACTGAAGTCAGTCACTGAATGAAGTATCAAATTCCTATCAAGTTCATAATCATGGTGATAGTAATAAGGTCATCATCCTTCTTCCATCTGTTATCATCTTCATCTGTCGTCATATGTTTCCTAGCAGAATATGACTAAATAGGAGAGGTGTAAAAATTATCATCAGAAACTTGCTTTTACTCCTGATGGCTGTAACAGTATCAATAAAGGATTAGTGCTATCAGAGGTTAAAACATATGACTTAATCCTTCCAGCATTTAACCCAGTTTCTAGTTTAACTTCCCTATGCTCTGCTTTCAGTAGTGTCCTTATTCTCATTAGTGATATTTTACTGTAGTTTTCATGGTCGAGAATTTCTTAATTCAAGTCGTAAGGGAATTGATATTACCAGTGCTTCTGAACTTGAGATAGTAAAAATTTTAAATGCGATAGAAGTTATAATAATGGAAAAGGTCTTGTATAAAAATTGTTGGATTTATGATAAAAATGGAACTTTACTTTGTGAAGTGTTGGAAAAAAAAGGAAGGGAAAATGTGTTAGTTTTCCATGGTATTACACTCCTTGCCATGAGGAATTTCATGGGCTTGGACTGATGTTACTGTCATATAAGTGAGCAATAAGTAACGACAAACTGCAGAATTGAGTCAGTGCTAGACATCGGCAAGGAGCAGACAAAATATGAGAAGTAAGTAGTAATTTTCAACAAAGAAGTTTGTTTTTATCCTCATACTATGGCAAGCACGTACGCATATTGCACGGCAAAGAGGAATGATGCTGTTCACTGTGATGAAGATTTTTGCCATATTACTCCTCCCTCCTTGTGCCTCCGACACAAGGGGTCAGGATATCTCATTCAACTTGACCCTCTGCCAAAACGAGTAATATACACTGGTGGTGTTTGGTTGGCTGGCATGGGTATTTCAGCCATGGTGTTTGATGGATTTACTGTAAGAGTCTGCTCAGGAATGGAAACTGATGCTGAAGTGTGCAAAACAAAAAATGCTGGTGTTAGGCGAATGATACTAATCACAGAATCCTATCCCTTAATGAGAAGTGTAAATTTTTATTAATTTAAATGGGCCATTGTATGGGTAATTCAGTGGTGGTTTCAGTGCATGACTCCGAAGCAGGGTGCAAGAAATACTTATTGTTAATATGAGCTGATGTGGGTACTGATGACATCTTTCTCATTGCCTCTCACAACTTCTGTGTAAATGGAATTGTGTTAACAGAATTAGAAACGTGGGTGAGTTGCAGAATCTCTGTGGGAAGGCAAATTATAGTTCCGAAGACGATCTTTAAAAAGATCTACCAGATCCACTCAGATCTTCCTTGTATGTTGATCAAAGACTGAGAAGTGCAGTTGAAGAACTCAGCATCCACTGGGCGTTATTATGTCAAATCAATGCCTGCTTTAGTGACCCGTGGAATCTCTCAAGTAATCCATTCGCTGCAAGTTAGTATGGGCTAGCCACAGTTCGGTGAACACTATGAAGTTTGTTAAGAGTAGTGAACATGTGCAGCTCAAATTGTCAGCACTTGATCGGTACTTATGATGATGGGAACTCCAAATCTAGCTATCCGGTGGGTAAAAAACATTGGAGCAACAGTTTCTGCCGAAATATCTTATTTGTATTACTTCCGTCCATCAGGAGAATTGGTTTATGAGGGTAAAAAAGTAGGAATACTCTTCTGAGGATGGCTGAGGCTCGACTGTATCCAAATGCACATGTTCAAAACATTGACTGGATATAGCGAAGGACTGCAGTGACATATGACATTGCTCCTCTGTCAGTAGATGCAAGCACAAGTCCAGGTAACACAATCCTTTGACACAGAAGGCCAAACAAAATGAGAAAAAATCAAGTCTTTTGGCCAGTTGTATATCTGGGTGAGAAAGTCCACTGAGGGAATGAAGTATTGCTCTTCAGCGTTGGCTGGGAACAAAGGGATGCAGCTTGTCACAACTTAATGTCACAATATATATTTAGCTCAGGAGACAGTTCCGTCTTTTTAGTTCTAATGAGCCACTTGCAGTGGACAACAGGTGATTCAGTTTGGGATCATTGTTGTTAACGTTGGAGTTGTAGCAATTGCATACTTTACCTTGCTTAGCTAAAAACCGGGGACGGGGATATGTTTCAGGGTCCCCCCTTGCAAAAATTAGTGCTTTTACTTTTCGATGTTGTGCCATTACTGTTTACATGCATTTTGCCTTCCCAAGTAAAATGGTGTTAGAAACATAATGCAATTAAACGTAATTAAAACAAAATTTATAATCTCAACAAACTGCATTTTAAAACAAAATAAAACAAGGAAATAACATAAAAATGAAAATGTTTTATCTAATCTACGCAGTACAAAAGGAAATATTAGCTTACCTTAGTTCGAAATTTCTATGTCTTCGGTGTGTGGCAGACAGAATTCCTTAAGAGAATTCAAAAACAGTTTAAAATTATCTAAACTAGAATCTGTATATTGCTGTCACCACATAAATTCACAAAAATAAGAATAAAAAAATATTCTCTGTAATGCCAAACTGTCGGCATTTCTTCCAAAAATCCCTTTTTATTACTCCTCACATACCTTCGATAGTATTGATATGACCTCCATTGTCTGATTTCCAAATCCTTAAATGCTATTTCATAATTTACTGAGAGGTGAACAAAGCCATTATCAGAAAGACAATCGCGCGACTTTCAGCAGTCAGATATGATTGTTGTTCTAGGTAAGATATTCTGTTGAATTACGATTAAACCTTCATTTACACGTCAGTCAATCAATAGTTTCTTTTCCATTCGTTCCAATACGTAGAATACGAACTTCATACAGAAACTACAGGCTAATCTTACCACCGGCAGCCATTTTACGTTGTAAAGCACAAAATAAAGCAACATACTTCCTAACAGACATCCAACACAGAAATAAGCCCTGAGAAATATTCTCCCAACGATCAAATTCAGCACGATCACACATTACAACCAGTCATATCATTATGGGTCCAACCAATTGCATCATGATGGGGTTTCCAAAACATACACAGTAAAATACTCAGGTTATCATAAATGAAACAACTTGGAAATAATGCAAGGAGTACCCCAAAACCGGGACTAATCTAAAATAAAATAAATATTTATTTCATAATTTCAATTAAAACAACTAGGCTGATGCTGTATCCTTTACATTAAAACCTATGAAAAAAATAAATCAGTGTATCTCCACATATCAACAGCAACCATGTTTACTGCTGATTGACCTGTGATCTAATTTGCATGAGGAAAAACCAAAAATAAAACATTAAGTCAACAATAGCCTTTTCCTGATGTTTAAAAAAAAAGAAAGAAAAAGAAAAGAAAAAAGAATTCATACTTCAATTCCATAATATGGACACAATACTTATTGTTCTTAAATACTATAAAAAGTTGAACCAAACGTTTTCAAATCCATAGCAGTTAAGCTTTCATGAATAAGTACACATTATTTAATTTGGTGAAGATGGATTCCAGGTCAAACATCCCATCATTCACCAGTCTTCTGGTAAAGTGACATCGTACATCAGTGTGCTTAGTCCGATGATTTTCTGTAGGTGACTTAGAAACATCAGTGGCAGATTTATTATTACAAAATAATTAACATTCTTTCAAATTAAGCTTGAAAACATCTTGTAGGACATTTTCCGTCCACATCAATTCCTTCGCTGTTTCCAATAAGGCGATATACCCTGCTTCCATGGTGGATAAACTTATACATTTTTGTTTAAAAGTTTTCCAAATTATTGGTACTTCATAATATAATGGGAATCCACCCATGGGTTTATGGTCAACCGCCAACCCTATTACTTGCATAATCAGCGTCTGAATAATAATATAAATTTAGATGTTTAATCCTTTATAAGTTATTAATTTAATACTGTTGAGATAACCAAGCAATTTCAGCATTGCTTCCCAATGCCTAATCCTGAAATTGTGTTATTTACTGCATATGCTAATATCAGGCCTTGCCCTAATAGCTAAAAAATTCTATTAGGATTTCTGAAAGGTAATTTACATATTTCAGCTGTTTTTGCACTTGTAGATTGACACTCTAATTTTTTAAGAATTAGCAATGGAAAGCGAGTTATTGGTATCTAAAAATGTTTAAATTTTTCAAAAGTTTTGTCTATATTTTGGTTTATGTTTGAAAGTCCCATTGTCATTTTCTAAGAATTCAATTCTAAATAATAATTCAGTTATATGTGGGAGCACAGGTGCATGAACCCACTTCTAAAACACGTCAGCTTCTTTTCTTAAATAATGTCCCTTTTCACATACATTCCTTCAATGCTAAGTTGAACTGGTCCCATAACATGTCTGCATTGGAGTTGTAACAAAAGCTACTTTGCCTTGCTTAAATAAAAACTAATATAAAATAAAACTAATATTTATTTCATAAATTAAAACAACTGGGCTGCAACAGTAGCCTTTACTTCAAAACCAATGGAAGGGGAACAGTGAATTGCCATGT